AGTGGATGACTGAGGAGCTTTGAGAAAGAGGCATCATTCAGGAGTCAGTCATGAGACACTGATTTGGCAGTCACAGGCTCAGAGAATCCTGGGGAGTGCAAAAGAACAAGAGGCAAGGGAGACACAGGTTGCAACAGGAGACATTCTGATTAGGTAGAAGGAGAAATAAATTATGGGGAGGTCAAGCACAGAACAGGTTATCTAGAGAGGTTGTGAGACTTCTATCGTTGGAGATACGCAAAACTTAGTTGGACAAGGACCTGAAAACCTGATCTGACTTTGAATTAGTAGCTAACTTTGAAGTTGGTGCTGCTGTGAAAGAGTTGAACTTCAGAGGTGACTTCCAACATAAATTATCCTATTGTTATATATTTTATCTGTGAGCTAGGAATGAAGTAAGGTCATCAGCAGAGCTTAAAAGATCGTTTTTGCTCTCAGTGAGCTTTAGACCCTGCAGAATTCCACAGAGCAGCCAGTACCCCAGACAGGGGAAAAATGTAGATTTTTCTAACTGTGTTTTTTATTGAGACACTGGTTTCCAGATCTGATGGTCATATAGTGATGGTGATAGGTCAGATACATTGACTCTGATTCTTGCCAGAGCCTGTCATCCCAGGACTCCAAATTTGTGTAAAAATCTATCATGAAAGCCTTTTCATATTGACATAGAAGGTATCTCTGTGGTAGAGAAAGGAATAGGTTTTAAGGGGCAGGGTTTTAATTTTATGAATGTTTATTGAATTTAAAGCCAGAATCTCAGGTCCTTACTCAGTTAAGAGAAAGTCTTGTTTTGAGACAGGCCCCCTGCTAATGTCTGTCAACTTTTGCTAAATAAGGATTGGGTTCAGTAGCCTTTTGGTTGAGTGGGGTCTGGATGAAAATGGAGAAGTTTCTCAGAATTTGTTCCATACAGAATAATCTTTCCAGGGGGTTTTCTCTGCTACCTGGAATGATTTCTTAATCTTCACTGTGTAGGAGAGCCTCTCCAGCTGTTCACTTCAGAGCAAATCAACTTTATCACCACTTTATTATTATTTGCCTTCATGAGTTTTCAGTTTATCTGATTCTAATGAAGCCTCTACTACAATTCTTTGATTTACAGCTGTAATATTAAAAGGCCCAAAATTATGGTTCTTTCAAGAGAAAAGTGGATTTTTTGAGTGCTAAGGATTTTCTGATAACTTTCTGATTATTTTGTAAAAATATACTGTCTGGCATGTCAAGCCAGTCACCGATAATCAGTAATAGCATAGCTGACTCATTTTGGCTGTGTAGAACCATCAGAACTGCAAAGCATCAAAACATTACCTGACAAGGTGAGCAGAGCCTTTCCTGCCACACTGACACGTGTGGCTGCTTTGTACTCTGAATGAAAACCACACAATGGGAAACTGCCAATGCACTGTTACTGATTGTTTAAAAAAAGCCCTGCATGGTTATGTTCACATCAGGGGCTGGCACCCCTTGTGACTGAGCACTTTTCAAACAGCTGTCTCAAATAGATTTAAAAATGAAGGTTACTAAAATACAGAACATTGTTAGCCTCTGTGATTATTCCTAGTTGTGAGGTACAGAGGCATGGATATGACGTTGTCCATGTGCGTGGGCATTATATCATTGTGACAGTTTCAAGATTTGTGAAAGCACTGTGGTCTTTCCTTTGTGCACATGTGATTCCCATAAATATTCACAAGAGTTACAGGCCATGGTTTTTGTGGTCTGTACTCTCAAGAGTTCAGATTTTGTAATGTTTGTAGACGTGTTGCCATCTTTTTTTTGGAAAACTGTTGTCTGATGTTTATATCTGATGTTACATTACAAATAAAAAAGAACACACAAAAGTCAGAACAGCTCTAGAATGCAGGATGAAACATGATTTTAAAAACCCACAGGCTTTACGACAAGCATTTACTACTTCCTTGCTACCTCACTTTCTGAATTACTTTTTCATGTACTCACCCAGCCATGCTTTGAGCTACATTTTTCTTGCTTTGTAGAAGAAATAATTTGACTTCCATTTATTTAAGTGCATAACCAAATGCGTTTAATTATTTGACTGTGCATGCATGGTCTTATAGAGTTAAATGACACGTTGGCCTGATGTTTGGAGATATAATGGTATTAATTATTATTTTCCATTAGGTTGCCTTTCTAATTTCAGTTTGTAAATCACTAATGATAGAACATTTTCTGTGAAGAGCTAATTCTGAATATCACCTTGAGTCAGGACATGGGAAGGTAACAAATACACTGCAGTGCATCCAGTGTGCTGTTGTTAGCACTACAAATAAGGGGTGCTATGTAGAAAGAACATATGAGCCTGACCACTTTTTTTGTTGCACTCCCCAGTCATCTACTGTCATGGGTTTAGGAGTGCTCTCTACCTGTTTTCTTTGGTGTTTATGACAGCAAGTTTGCAACCTGCTGTGTGCAAAATATATCACTAATCCACTGTAATTATGGCCACCTTTAACACTATTATGGCCATCTTTAAACACAGATCAGAAGTTCATTCTACGTTGGGTGTTAGCAGCCCAGTACAAAATGATGGATCTTGTTCCAAGGACCCTACCATGGAATTTAAACATCCTTGAGCAGAGCCTCAAAGGTAGAGAAACCTTTAGACCAGAAAGTGCTGATTGCCTATTTTTCAGTACCTTTAGTGATGTTGATTACTAAACCTGAACCCAGTCTGGAGGTGTCACCATTACCTTTACATATATACATACTGCTGCACAGACTAATTCTAGAGTTCTTAACATTTTATAGCATTACACAGAAGTTTTGGTGTCATTTTTCTAGGTGATGCAGCCTTATCATAGGGAAATCTGTGCCCTGATGAACCTGCTGCTTAAGATAAGACAGTGTGTTTCTGGATAAACTGGGGTCATTGCTTGAACAATTTGAAGTGCTTGTTCATTTTCCTCTTTCTGGGGTTCAGCATTTTCCTTTTGGATCTGTTTAGAGAAAACGTGCTGTTGTCAGAATGCAGACAGATTAGACTTCCCCTCCAAGGGAATGTAACGCTGCCATCCCCACTGTAGTCACCACAACCAATTTTTCTTTCACATTTCCCTCTTAACATCAGGATTTTGGTGTGGACTGTGGGACTCCGTGATCCCCCTCTAGTGGGGAGCTGGTGTGAACACCAGGCTCTTCTGGAGAGACCTCAGAGACTGAAATCACATTATTTGATCCTCTGGCTTTAAAATCCAACGGCAAATCAAATGTGTAACAAAGCTTTTTAGTAGTGATAAAATGCACACAACCAAGTTAATCCATGGGCTTAGTTCTAACAGGGAGCATTTTTATGTCTAGAAGTTTTGTAGCTGCGGACAAATAGATTATTTATATTAGTGTTCTCATGTAAAAATGATTTATTGCATTTGCTAAGAAAAGTGTTTAGTTTTTTTGCCACGGCAGATGCCTTTGATCAAAATGAATAAAATTACTTGTGTGATAATCTGGAATTTAATTCAATTTAAAATATGTTCATTTAAAAGTTTGTATTTACTTTTGGAATAACAGTCATCAAGAGGAGTACCTAAAATTCATATTGGAAATGAATAAGTGGAGAGGGATTGCTTGAAAAACTGGTATTCTGAAATGCTGAGATGCCTGAATGAGCTCCTGTTGTGTAAAGGGCAATAAGCATTTCACAGAGGCTTTTTCTGCACAGAAATAAAAAAAAAGAATTGGAAGGTACACTGTTTTAAAAACTCATTTTGCTGAAGGTGGAAACAATGTTAGCTATAAAAATGACATTTTAACTTCTTAGACACATGACTGAACAAAACATTGAGCATAATTTTACAATGGAAATTAAGTCTAAGAGTTGGCAGATAAACTTCAAAGCAGCTGTGCTTAGGATATTGAAGCTCTACAGTGTTATCAGACCTAGGCACAGAGATTACATTTACATTTATTTCTGGAAAAACTCACATTCAAAATGCCCCTTCCCTTCCCTTCCCTTCCCTTCCCTTCCCTTCCCTTCCCTTCCCTTCCCTTCCCTTCCCTTCCCTTCCCTTCCCTTCCCTTCCCTTCCCTTCCCTTCCCTTCCCTTCCCTTCCCTTCCCTTCCCTTCCCTTCCCTTCCCTTCCCTTCCCTTCCCTTCCCTTCCCTTCCCTTCCCTTCCCTTCCCTTCCCTTCCCTTCCCTTCCCTTCCCTTCCCTTCCTCTCCTTCCCAACTGTCACTGTTTTCCAGCACTTTTCTCTTCCCCCTCATCTCCCTCCCCTCCCTTCTTTCTTCCCTTTCCAACTTCCTGCTAGTCTGTCTTCCAGCACTTTTCTCAAACACTACTTCCCAGATGTTGTGACACTTCACCACAACAGACTTTGCATTTACTATCCAGTGTCCACTGCCTCCCATGTATTCCTGCATTAGCTCTTTTGCTCTTTACCACCTCTTTCTTTCATCCTTACCCCTAAGGTGATCCTCAAGCCACTTTTCTCTGCTTGACTTTTTCTGTGTTTAACCTTTTCTGAAATCACTTCTACTCTTACTACTGACATTTGAATGATTTGTCTTGGGAGGTAGCGTGTGAGACAAGTGGCATTGTGATAGTACAGTCAGTCAGTCTAATGTGTGTTTGGACAGCCTATGTCCATAATAATTCTCCTACCCTGAGAGAGAGCTGGCTGGCTGAGGGGCAATGTTGGTGGATTTCATTAGCTGACATTATTTCAGCATTCAGATTGAGAGAGTTGTTGAATCATCATTACTATAGTCATTCACACCTTTGATGTAGATTTTTGGTAACTGGCTGTACATCACTTTATTTGCAACTTTATCTTTTTTTTTTCCTTGGTGTTCCTGATATTTACAATATGTACTATCTTAAGTAAATCCACTTATCCCTGCATGCACAGCCATGAGCATGCACATATGTGTAGTCATGCATGTGCACACACAACATGCTTTGTTAATTGATGTTAATTGCTGGTGGTTTTAATTACAAAACATATTTCTCTATTGCTCTGTTTGCACTGCTTTATTTCAGCTTCATCTCATGCACTGGAACTCCACACTGTACAGCAGCATTGATGAGGCAGTAGGGAAGAAGCACGGCATAGCTATTATTGCTTTGTTTGTGCAGGTAAGTTTCCTGTGTTACACTTGTTATGATGCACTGCCATTTGTCTGAGGATAATGAGGTCCTTTCCATGTTATTTAATTTTTAGTGATTTCATGAAAGAAAACAATGTATGGCTGCCGGTATTCTATTTGCAAGATATTTTTCAGTCATGTCTCCTATATGTGTGCTAAGCAATCAATTCTTGTTTGAACAGGATATTGGAAGTATGTTCATTAAAGAAGGGATAATAGATCGTTAGGTACCTTTTTGGGACTCTGACTATAAGCAGACATCCAATCTTCATTCCCTGAGAGCAGAATGAGGGCTGTCAGGAGGGACAAGTGTTTCACTATCTCTGTGATGTATTTCTCTTAATTCCTGACTGGGTCTGCTGTTCAGGGGTTGAGGAAATAGACAGAGGAGAGGAGGAAAGATTAAAGAAAAGGCCTACAAAGCCATTGGCAGTGCTGAAAACTGGTAGTAAAATTGTGCTTTCCTGAACACAGGGACAAGTGTGTTTCTGCACACAGGACAAATGTGTGGTGGAGTTGTATCACTTCTCCAGAGACTGAGAGCGTTAACAAGACTTGCCAGAGACCCTCAGAAAAGCCTGCAATGAGGAGGCTTAAAGCTTCCTGGGGACAAGGTGTAATGAAATCTGGGAAGTTAGCACTATAATCTAATTGCTGTTGAAGGTTTTTCAAGGTCTGCACCCTATAAAGATTTTCAGTTTTAGTCCTCAAATACCAGATTCTCATCTTCCTCATGAGAAATGGCAAACTGTTTTATTTAAATGGGTTTGGAGGAAGAGGTTTAAAGTTCATCCTTAGATCAAATGGATTTTCTTGCACTATGATATTATTAATTTGTCATATTTCATAACGAGTTTATGAGTGCCTTTGAGCTTTACCTCTGAATTTGAAGGTGCATTGGTTACCATCTCAACACTCAGATAGAACTGCTAAAAATGGAAGTTAGAAAGTCTTCAGCTTTGTGTCCTAGAGGGCTGTGTGATAATTGCTTATGTAAGTCACCTTCTCATTCCAGCAGAGGTAACCTTCGAGTCAGTTAGAAAGTTATATATAAGTTCTTAAATAAATTTGAAACTTCAATGATACATTTTCCATTTCTGGTCTGTCAGCCATATCAGTGTTCATAAGCATTCCAAAAAGGCTTCTTCATTAGCCAAGAAAGGCATAATTACAACTGACCAAGGAAAAATAATATTTAAGCTGTTTATTAACAAACAGGGAGAGGAAATTTGGTGACCATTTTTTTCTCGGTAAAGGCATGGAAAAATAATTTTGTACCATGGTTCTCAAAATACATTATTTTAAGGTCAATGAAAATATTTTCACTGATTTAGGTGACAGCCCTTGGGGATTATTAATTTAGAAGCAGCATCTTTGAAGTGATTTAAATATCTATTACGCACTTTGAAAAGTTTGAAATTGAAATTCCATTCTGAAACAAAAGAAAATGCTCTTAAATTCTTAGAAGTAACAAAGTACCTTTTGTTGACATTCAGCTGTTTCCTTCCAGTGGCTACTGTGTCATTCTATTAGAAGAGAAACAAAAAGCAAACAAATTTTTCAGGGTCTAGCTCTCCCATTCTCACTCATGCTGGTTTATTTCCTCACCTTGTATTTGTACGTGTTGGCAAAGAAATCAAGGGGAAGGCCATTCTGCCTCTCCTGATTTTGTTCTGAAGGTAAAACTAGGATCCTGGAATGGGTGATTTGAGTCAGAAGCAGCTGAGTTTAGTGTGCAGAGTGAGCAACATCCATATAAAATTAGAATCCCTCATCTCAGTGTGTTTCTTTAGAGCCTCACAGGCATTCAGTAGAGGCAGTGCTGCAGCCTGGCTTTCACTGGCACGATCCCAGAGATGCTGTGGGAGAGGGAATCTGCTGTTCTGTGCTCTGCAGGCAGGAAAAAACTCCCCTGAGCTTCAGAGATACCTTGGGCCAGATTTGCAATGCTATGGGAACAAATTCAAAAATTTTCTGTTATGCTTGTTCACTCTGTTCCTTTCTGTGTACTTTTCTGACAAAAACTGGTAAAGGACAAACTGTATCCTTGGCATCTATATGCCACAATAGTGCATGATCTTGACTCCACATAGAGCAGGTTCTGCACATCAGGGTTAATAAAAACCCCACCAGACTTAATTATGACTCTTTCTCTTGTTCTGTGAGTTTGTCTCTGCTTTAAAGTTATTTAAGCCCTGTTTACTTTTGGCTGGTGGTTTTATAATGATTTAATTTTTTGGACTTGTCACGTATCAGTGTATTTGATTAAAACAAGGTTGTGTTGCTAAACTAAAAACAGCTATAGTACTTACTGTGCTGGTTGACCTGAGTTTTGCCTCAGTTTCTGAAATACCAAGATACTGAAATTCACCTTTGCTTGCTGTATTTCAGATAGGAAAAGAGCATGTGGGCCTAAAGGCTGTAACTGAAATTCTTCAGGACATCCAGTACAAGGTAAGGCATTGTCTGAAGCAATCCTTCCTTTAAGGACCAGAGAGAAAGTAAGCAAAGGGTCTGTAGGGAGCCAAGAGAAAGATTTCAGATGTGTCTGTGGTAAAACCACATATAAAAGCCATCATTTGGTGGCCAGCATGAAAACCTCAGTGTTTTATTCATATAATATTATTCAGCTAATATGTATTTTTTATACTTTCTTTTTCTGGTGGCCAGAAAGTTTGATCTATACCAGTAACTGCTTGCAAGTCCTACATTTTCAGTGATTTTCATGGAGTCAGTGTGAGTGCAAGCACTGCAACATGCTTAGTGAACACCAGCAGCCATGTCTCCAAACTTGCCTGGTTTTAATTTGCAGAGGAAAACTACTGATAAACTGAGCACCCATATTAGCTTGTAGGGAAATCAGCAAAAACACTATGCCAACTTGTCAAGTGGATTATGTCTGGAGATCCTGAAGGCCAGGTAGTAATCCTAGCAGGACTGAGGAGATTTGAGTGCTCTCCAAAATGTTGACACTATCTTAAATTACCTTGGGCAAGTTACTTTCAACTCTTTGCTTCATGATCTGTAACATAGAAATAATAATATATTCTTTTGATTTTAAAAGGATTTTGAGATGTATTGATGACACATATTTTTATTGGTCTGAAAAGATTACCATTCACTTCAGCAGATGCCGAAGTGTAGAAAAATTAGAAAGGAATTGCAATATTTTAGTCAAATAATATATGGTAAACTTCAGGCATGATGTTTAATATTATAAATTCCTTATTTATGAAAGTATCAGAGAAAACAATAGTGTATGGAAATCTAATTTCATTACTGAGACAACAGCCAAGCAGAGGAAGGTCATGAAAGGCCTCACCATTGTGTTACTGTGTTATAATGGTGCCTCCCAAAGGATCAGCATCAAACACACTTTGGCATACATAACATTTTTGTGTATTAAGAATATGGGACCAGCATTATTTTGTTAAGGTTATCCACATTAGTTAAGTAAAGCTCACTTTAGCCCTTGGTTTTTTATATGAAGCCCCTGAATTTTGTGTAGAGAATTTCGAGGCTGGGACCTGAAAGAAGTCCAGGTGCTAAAGGCAGAAAGTTAACAAATTGCTGGAATAAGCTTAAAAATGAAATAAAAAATAGGATAAAAAAACATGTTTGTGTAGCTGAAAGGACAAATGCAATGATAACTAAATGGGTGCTCTTAGTGAGGTTGCTTTCCACAGGAATTCAAGGCTTACTGGTAAAAGAACACAGAATGTGTTTTACCTCGGTATTCATCAGCATTTTAATTAGAAGCTAGAGATGAGATTGACTTGTATTCATTTTTTCAGGGAAAGTCCAAAACAATACCCTGTTTTAATCCCAACTCTTTATTGCCAGGTAGGTGCCTTTGCTTACTTTTGTGTGTGTGGATTAGTAGCTGATTGCAGGGGCTGAGACAATCTTAATCTAAAGCCTAGCCTAAACTGCAAGCCTGAGTGTGTCCCATAAGGTGGTAGTGCATTTTGGTGATGCACATCCTAACAGGGATGGTGGTGAATTCCCATTGGAATTTACTGCAAATCTGCACCTTTGCCATGTGAGTGGGATGCAATTCTGTAGTCTGTGCACTGCTGACAACACCCTGGCTAGCTTTGTTGAGATTTACCCACCCATCCAGAGAGACAGCTGTGTGTATTCATTTCTCTGCTTGGGCATAAAATAGGAAGTGTAAGGCTACCCACTTAACATGGTAATTTTTTTGGCAGAATCAAAAGACAATGCCATTATGCAATGACAGTTGTACAGCAAAAAAAGAGAAGTGACAAAGGGAGGCAAATTCAAACTTACATAGCTAAAGTTAGAGAGTAACAGTAAGAAATGTGACTTTAAAAAAACATTTCTAAAGAGAAATGTTTCTGCAAGGAATTCATTTGAGCCAAACTCTGCCACAGTGGCAAGATCTTTAATTTTTCAAAGTAGCCCAGGTCTACATTAAACTATATTAAGTATATTGAAAGAATATTGTCCAAGTTGCAAAGTCAAGTCTCAGCTATTAGGAATTGCAGGAATTAAGGCAGCCTGTGCCTCTCATGCATATCCATTATGAATCATCACCTGATTGCATGACCATAAGCTATTTTTTACAGGACCCCTGCCTCACAGTTCCTGTTTGATGCTGATCAAGCCACATAAACAAAAATGCTCACAAGTCATCTCTAACTATGTGTTCCTCATTTTCCAGGTGCCCGACTTGAGATCATGGGGTCTGATTTGCAGAAGTGCTGAGTGCTTACACCTCCAAGAGAAGTCAATGGGAGCAGTGCTCTGACTGTATTATGTGCTATAGAAAGTTAAATACTCTGAGAAATCAGGTTCTAAGCATGTCATATTGAACACCTCAAATGAATAGATGCATTTGACCTCATCTTCTCTACCTCAGTTCCCCAGCTGTGAGGGGATAATCTATCCTTCCTCACCACTCAGGGGTATGGGAGGAAAAATTAATTCATTTAAGCTCTCAGGCACTGGAGAAATGAGTGTATTAGAAATATGAAAAATGAGAAAATATTCTAACAAGCAGGATTTCAATAGCATAGGATAAAGAATTCCAAATGCCTCGTATTGTACTGAGAATTCTAAACAATATTATGTACTTTTCAAAACAAAACCATCTGTCTTTGCAAGTAAACAATGAAAGGTTTTCCAGAAAAGACACACATGATCATGTGACAGCACTGTATTGTGATGCATGCACAGGATGGGCTGAATTAATTCTTGCAGTTCTTAACTTTTGAGTGTTTAATAATGCAACTTGCTGTCAATGGATTTGCTACATAATTTCCAAGCTGAGAAAGAAAATTGCACCAACAAAACAAAATCAATTTGCTGACAATCACAGGCTTCATTAGGAAAATTTAATTCTACTGATATTCCTCCGAGCTAGTAGTGAAATGACAGTAACAGGTTAGTTCCACCAAGCAGGTTTATTTGTTTCCAGTATCCCATTCTGTCCTTGTCAAGCTAGTCACAACCTTCCCCCTGGCTCTCCATGCCAAGATTAACCACCCTTTTCTCCAGTTTCTCTCTAGGTTTAGTTTTTGAGAAACCCTCTTTTACAGTCAGGCAGTTTCCTCTCCTTTTTTAGGCAGTTTTCTCTTCTTTTTTTAGTACTTTTTAGGCTGTATGGCCTACTGCAGCAAAACAAAGCCCTGTGTTGTCTCATTTATGAAGTGTAGTGTGATTGAAATCTATGAGAAATTAAAATTAAAATAATGAAAATCGAATGTGTTTTATGTAGAGTAAAACTCTGCATGCACAAAATATTGTACATTTTCTTCAGTGACTACTGTTTATCCTAACAGTTATTTATAAACCTAATAATAAATATGTAAACTTAAAGAATTATGTCATTATAAGGTAAACCTTGATGTTTTTCCCCCCCTCTGAAATTCAACTCACTTTTGCAAAGGTAGGAAGCACCATTTCATCTCAAAAACTATGTCACCAGAATTGCAAAGTGAAAAGTTTTTCTTCAGCTGAATTTTCATTGATTTTTTTTTTCTAAAAAATGAAATAAAATTAGTTCTTGAGACATATCCTAAATGTAGAAGTCAGTTAAAATTCAATCACCACAGACACTCTGCATTCAAAATACGTGTCTTTTTAGCTTTTGACATTAACAGGAATTCCTTTATTCCCATAATATTGCTTATTTGCTGTGTTAATTTAAAGAGCTCTGTGCACTTGTTATTTTTCACATCTACCAAGTGGCATTTCACATCTAAAATGCACATCTGCAGGGTTACTTACTGTAATATAATGACCAACAGCTCATATACATTCATATGAGGAAGTAGTGGGCAGTGCTTGGCAGGTTATAAATTCACACTTTAGCTTCTGCTTACTAACTCTGTCATGCGAGCGAGCCCACAGCTGTCATAAGCTGTCACTGAAAAACACCATTAACTTCCTAATAGTCATTAAAATTCCACATTTCTTATGGTTTCAGATCCTCTTCTGCGTGACTACTGGGTGTATGAGGGCTCTCTAACCATTCCACCCTGCAGTGAAGGTGTCACCTGGATATTATTTCGCTATCCTTTGACGGTGTCCCAAGTGCAGGTAACAGCTGTGCTTAAATTGACCTTGGAATATGGTTATGAGCTAAAGGTTATAGCGTGCAAATGTATATATCAAAATGTTATGTCTGTTCTCCTTAAAGATCCCATTAGATCAGTACATGGCTTTTCAAGTAAAGGTTAAACCTTTTGAGTCACTGGAAGCAACGCAAAGGTCAGAGATGAAAAACCTTGTTATCATATATCATCTGCATTTAAAATAATTCTTATATTTTAGTCAACAAAAAAGAAAAAAGGGACTCAATGGGCAAAAGAAATTCAATTCTTTGTAATTGTATGCTTTCAAATATCACTGCTTTTTAATGTTAAAGGGAAAAAAAAAAGCACAGGGAGGCACTACATCCTGAAGAATGAAAAACGCTAATGTAGTACAGATTGGCTAGATTGCATTGAACTGTATTTAATTTATCTGGCTCTTTTTAAATTCAGTTTTATAATAAATGTCAAATGGAAGCCACCTATTTAAATTTGATTTCACATGTATGTATTTTAAAATGTTTGGGGTTTTTTCCTTAAATTAAATCTACCAGTTCTGAGCCTTTCTATGTACAATTTTTCAAATCTGTCTACAAATAATCCCAGTAAAAACAATGAAAGCTCCTGATGAATATTCTCCCACAGTCTGTGAATCCCGACTGGAAGAGTGTGCATTTAATTTAAGTGAACATATCTAGAACCCCTGAAGCTGAATGCATTCATTTTCATTGCCTGCTCTGAAGCATGTGAAAAAAGTATAAAAGGTGATAAATTCAGATTTCAATTATTTCAGCTTTAATAATTTAAAATTTTGCTAGTGATGCCAGCACAATTTTTAACATCTTTAAGAATTTAAAACTGGCAGCATTTCTTGTTTTATGGAAACTGAATTCTGGGTCTAATCATAGGATAAAAGCAATAGCTCCCAATAAGTTATTTGTCTGCTAGCTGCAACTTAAATGCATCCCATCATGAATCTGTTATTTGTTTATGAAAAGCTAAGACTTGCTTACTACTGAGTAAATGCATTACTTACTACTGAGTAAACAGCATTCTGTTAGCATTATTAGATTCAGAATAACTTTTAAAGACAGAGTGCATCTTGTAACTTGTCAGCTAATTGTCCTGATGGGATATTGATAAATAAGGGGACTTAATCAGATGTACAAAGTTCAGCTATTACAGCTGAGACATAGTAAGATATTACAGCTATTACACTGAGACATAGTATGATATTTCTAGTTGCAGATTTTGTGGTCTCTATTCCTTTTTAGTCCAGTGAGTGCACAGAGAGCTGAGTTTAAACCATCCACATGTAGTGGGAGACATCAAGAGGGTGAACAAAACAGGAATTAAGAGGAGATATACAACTTTACTTAGTATTGCTGTGTACTAATTTACCACAAGAAAGCAGGATGTTGGAATGTTGTGTGAAGGGGATAAGACTCCTGAAAAGAATATTGTGCCTGGGGAAAAGAGTGACCTGTAGTGCCTGGGGCAGAGACCAAGAGTCACAGCCATGGCCTTTGTTAGGTGAGGGGTGGCTGGTTTGTGTTCCTGCATTACTGTGATAGCTGCAAACCCGAGCCAAAAACGGTGCAGTGATGAAGGGTATGCAAGTCATGGAGGGGCTTTTCCCTCCCACTGGCACTGTACATGGGTGAGAGGTGGCACTGGAGTCCAGTGATGGATTGGAGCAAACTCATGCTAGGATGATCCACTATTCTTGTCACAGATAAGCATCAATTAGAAAAACATTCCTCTGTGATATTTATGATTGCAGCATTAAAGTTAAGGTTGTGCAGGAAAGATAATTATTAAGAACTTGAAAGGCTTTTGCCAAGGTGGGATAAAAAAAAATATATTTCATCAGATATTGCTTTCAGATGTCAATGAAAAATAAATATGTCATTAAAATAAATATGTCAGTGAAAAATAAATATGGGGTAATTGAGAGGAGATGATTCTGGGATTTGTAAACTGAAAGGTATTGTGAGGTCTCCATGATGCCCAAATTAAGATTTTGTTAGTTCTAGAATATTTTGCTATAGCTAAAATTCCAAGATTTTAAATTGTAATTAGCATTTTGTCTGCAGTGAACTATCTGGCCTCTTTTGTGCATGTGGGCATGAGTGCCTATGAGAGATTTCATTTAATCACAGAACCACAGGATGATTGGGGTTGGAAGGGACCTCTGGAGAGCATCTATTCCAAAAGCCCTGCTAAAGCAGGTTCATCTACAGCAAGTTGCCCAGGAGAGATTAGAGATGCAAGGGCTTTTGTCTGTGGAAAATAAGAGGATGTAGTATAGGATATACCATTTTGAATCTTCCATGGAAGGCTGGTAGAGGTATTTAATTTTATTAAGCCAGCTTGTAGTATTAAATAATAGGTTTCAGTGCAAATGCATTTCTAATAGGTTTAAGTACATTATTTTTACATTTGTCATTACCTTGTGGAAATTTCTTCTTTTGGATACTAATGAAATGTCAACTGCTTTATATAAATACTAGTAGCATCTGTGGTTATAGCCAGTGAGAGACAAATTCAAGGCTATTTTCATTTTTCAGGCCATGAAATAATCAAGTTTTGAGTGTCAATAACAAGTAAATAAAGAATTACATAATATAATATGGAATAAGTTTTATTTCTTTCCTCTGATCAAACTAGTTCATATATTGGAGACAATATGCTAATTTTCTGCAATTAACACAGCAATATTGATCAGCTTAACAAACTGCAGGTCATAAGGGCAAAAAATGAATAAAATTGCCACTCTGTTTCAAGGTCACACTCATAAAATATTTTCACATTTTGTTATTTTGAAACAATGAAGTAACTATTTTGACATAGGCACAATAGGCTGACCATTGCAAAGTAGAGAAACCTTTTTTTACCTGAAGACATTTTCAGATAGTAAAGTTCAGCTGATGAGTTGATATGCTACTAATCTAAGTCCAAGTTAAGTGAAAGGAGATCTGAGTATGCTGATTATACAAACAGCAAAAGAGCAATTCAGGAATGCAGCATCAGGATATGCTTTCCTGGAATCATGAGGAATGCTGTTTCCTCATTGGAAGTAATTTTCTTTGTCATGAGACTTCACTTCCATCAAAAAGTCCTTCATGGGTCATTCTGTGCATATTCCTGTCCTCCTATTGTGATTTTTTTTTTCATCCTCGCTTGACTTATGTTGAAATGCACAGCCCAGAAAGACCTGTGTTGATTATTTTTGTGAGATACCTCACACATGCATGTACACTGCTGAAATTCAGTGGGAGAAAACTCCTATTAGGCCAGTAAAAACAGGAAATAATTGAAAAAGACTTAGTCATGCTTCTTTCCACTATATTAAAAAAAATGGGACATTTGTGAATAATGTGCTTTATGGGTCACTGAAGCTCAGAACAAGTGCATTGTCTAAGCCACTCAGAGTAGGGATTTTAAACAATAATGCAGAAGGAGCTCTTGTTTGCTGTATTCATTGTCAGAGTTAACTGGTCTTTTATTGAATGCTATGGTCTCTAGTCCTTTTGTCTACCTCAGTGAGAATGAAAAACTACCAAAGGACAGAAAGAGTAACTAGCATATGGAGCTGTAGTGGGAATTGTGCAAAATTTATGTAAACTAAAATAAAGCACTCAGAGCTTCATGGTATTTTAGATGCTGGGAAGTAGGTCCATGTTCTTGGAAGGTGTCATGGAGACATGTAAAATTTTCATACAGAAGGATAATTCTTCTATACCTCATATTAAAGAAATGTTTATAGAAAACATGCAAATCCTTAGTATTGTGTGCTCTATTCTTCAGCAAATGTGTAAGTGAAACAGAAGAATGCTCAGGATTTGAATACAATGAGTGGTAAAAAAAATTCTACACAACATGAACGGTTTTACTCAGTAGAAATGCCAATCCCAGTGGCAATGTGGATTTCCCTTCTACATTGGCTAGAACTTAATCCCAAATTTCAGCGTGAACAGGCTTAGGTCATTCTTAATGTCTTCTGGGCAGGAGAAGAACTTTTTAAAGTAGCTATTCCTGGTAAAAGTATATGACTATCCAAGGGTGCTTAGCCATGTGCCTCTAAAACACCTGTTTCATTGGCAGTCCTGCAGGGTGTACTCCACAGCGCTGACTTATGAGGGGCTGGGAGGACGTGGTGAGCAGTGGAACAGGATGAGCAGGGCACACACATGATTGGCTTTGAAAAGACAGGTGTGTGCTAAGGAAGGCATGAGCCTCCCCTGAAATGGAAAATGTAAACTCCCTCCCTCCAAATCACAGTTTTGAAATTAAGGGGCTCTCAGACAAAATATGGGAATAGGAATAACAGTTCTTTACTAGGAAAATTTTAAAATTACTAATGCAATAGTACAAAAAAAGAAAAATAAACTATTGACAGAGTCAGAATACAACCTGACACCCTGTTGGTCAGGGTGTTGGTAGCAGTCTGACTGAACAGTGGCTACAGTCCTCCTGGAGTGTCAGGTGTGGTCCTGTTGAGGCAGGGATCCCGTAGAAGGGTGGAGTTTTCCTCTGAAGGTCCCATGGTGGTGTAGATGGACCTGGTCTTCCTCTGCAAATCCAGTGGGGAAAGGCTGACTGTGATGTTCCAAATCTCAGATTATATCCAGGTAGGGATGCTTGGCTCCTCCCCCTGGGCAGAGCTTCTCACAATGGGATGATGTAATTTTATCAGCCATGCAGTGACACTTGATGGCCCAGTAACAGAAGCTATTTCCTGGAGGGGGCATTGGTTGTGGAAGAGAGAAAAAAAAAAACCTGCCCAATTAACAGAAGATAACTGCCACACCTCTAACAGATGGGAATAGAATACACATCCAGCTACCTTTCAACCTGAGACAACATATTACCTTGCCACATGGAAATTTAACAGGGAAAGTAGCGTTGGCACAGCTAACGTCCTTTTCTGACAAGTTCTTCTCATGAGTAGAGCAAACCACCATGTGTGTAGTCCTTTTTTTCCACCTCATTTGAAGGTTCACATGGCAGTGTGAACCATGGAAGGAACAACTAAACAAGGAGGGTGTTGATTGCAGAAGAAATTCCCCCTTGGAGCAGAGCTACAATTCTTGACTTCCGTAAAGACTAAAGAGCAGGCACAGAGATCAGGTCAGTTCTACTCTCCTGACTGAAGAAACTGGAAGCTGCTTTGTGTGGAGTTACCTCCTGGAGAAAGATTTCACTGTGGGAACTGGGATGGAGCATTTGTAGTTTCAGTAGGAGACAGCTCACAAATGCTCGCTTTGCAGAGAGCCTGCTCTTCCCTCTCCTTCATCTGTCTTTGTTTGAAGTATCTCATTCTCACAAGATCAAACAAAAGCCACATTTTTGTAAAGTGCTCCTTCCTAAACTGCAATTATCTCAGACTTTCCAGAGTTGATTCAGATGGTGAAAAAGTATGCTTTTACAAAGCTCCTTCAGTCATTTACCAGCCCTTGAGTTCTGAAGACTTTTTCAATTCCAAGCTTGTAGTGGGTTTGTTTTCAGTTTCCTTTAAGTAAACAATAACAACAAAAATCTTCCATAACAGGATTCTGCCTCTAAAAGCACCTTCAAGGAGCTTTTTTCATTTTTGCAGTCTAAGCTGTTGCCTTATATCTCAGCTGCCACAAGCTGAGTGTTGATTTCCAAGCACACTGTTTTTTTGAGGAAAATTAAGCAGAGAAGAGCTAGCCTCTAAATCAAGTAAATAAATCTGTATCAGTACTGCTGTAGAGTGGAAAAGAACAATGAGGGCACTTGTGTTCCAGGTTGCAGTAAGAAAGTATTCTCTGTAGGCAGGATAAGAATAAAAACGCCATTACCTGCTGTTTAGTACCTCATTTAATTTAATTCTGGAATCATGCTTACATTCTCCCTGTAATATTTCCTAGAGTGTTTTTCATGGAGAAATTAACTCTATAATGTCTTAGATGTTAAAATGATTGTATACTCCAGGCTCCATTTTACTTTCTGTGTATCTTCAGTTTCAACTTAGAGATCAACTGCGTAGTGAAGTGTCACAGGGTCAGTACAAGTACAAAGGCTGGGGCTTTGTAGTACAAAGGGGAGTCAGCCATCAAGTACATTTGCTGCATCCAGCTAAGACAGCTTGTGAATATGTCAAAGAAAAAATATTTTTCTAGTAGTTGTAACTATTTAAAATATCAGGCTCCTAAAACCAGCATAGGTGAATGGTAAGGTAAAGTGTTTTATCATGCAGCACTTGATGCTAGTACCAGGGATGGAGATGGAAGCTGCTCATATTCTTCTGTACACCAGATGAGGTTTAGAAAAAGGTAAAAAGAGTCTATAAGCAAGAAGCATATTTGTTTTGGCTCAATTGAAATATTTCATATTTATTTTTTACTGTATTTGACTTTCTGAGTATCTACACCTACAGATCTTTTGAAGCAGTATTTTGTTTTGATGACAAAGACTCTATTTTTTCATATAAAATGTCAACAGACATCCTCTAAAGCTAAGAATCTGTTCAGTATTCTTCTGGTTTAGAAGATAACAGTTTCAGGAAGTGAATAAATCACTAAGAGAATTTCAAAACACTTTATAGTCAAGCAAGTTATTCCTGAAATGCACTTGTTTGAAGAAGACCAGAATTGCTACTCTAAACACATGACAGTAAGGCTGATTCATAGGATGTAATCTGCAATGGCCAAGATGGTTATAGATCTTAAAAGAAGTTGTGAAAAGGCAAAGGAGAAGTTTGCCAAACTACGTGCTTAAGAGTTGATTTTCTCTATATCGCAAATATTTTGACAGTGTTGATAACTATTTTAAAATGTTATTAATGTATATGGACCTTACTATGTGGCACCTGAACACTCCAATCTTCAAAGCTGCAGAATTGGCTGGACAGGGCGGGTTTTGATCATTAGTCCCATGGTGAAGAATGTGTCTCAGCTTCCTGACTTCTGTTTTTCTGTCTTCCAGATAGAGGAATTTCGAAGACTGAGGACTCATGTTAAAGGTGCTGAACTTTTAGAGGGCTCTGATGGAATCCTAGGAGATAACTTCAGACCAACTCAGCCACTTAGTGATAGAGTCATCAGGGCTGCATTTCAGTAGCAGAGGAAGAACAATGATGAATCTTCAGTCAGGTAAGCAAAAACTTAGCAGAAAAATCAAAATTTTGAAATAATTTAGCTAAAGTAGAAAATGCACTTAATTTTAGCTAATGTTATGATATGTTGTCACAATTTTAAATTCTGACACTGTAATTTCTATTTCATCCTGTGCGTAATAGTTTGGTTATGTCATGATTTACCTCCAGCTGGCAACCAAGCCCCATGAGCTGCTCAGTCACTTTCACGTGGTGGGATGGGGGAGAGAATCAGAAGGGTAAAAGTGAGAGAATTTCTGGGTTGAGGCAAAGACAGTTTAATAGGTAAAGCAAAAGCATGTGTGCAAGCAAAGCAATGGAAAACAAGAAAGTCATTCACCACCCTCCAGACAGTGAATCACGATGCCATTTACATCACGATTACTTCTTGTAGCTTTTATTTCCTCATACTGCAGTGAAGAAAAGCACAGCATACCTTGGTTATGTGGTATATTTCCCCAGCTACTGAGTTTTACAGGTAGATTTCTTTCCATGATGTCTTGATGTCTTCTGGAAGACCAGCCATTGGTGGATCTTTTCACACTGTTAAAAAAAAAATACAGCTTCATTTTAGAATTAAAGGCCTCCTTCCAGAACTACTGCTCTTCTTTTTTTTTTTTACAATGCTGTTCTTCCCCAACAAGACTGAATTTTGAGCAACTCCAACAAAAGTACAAAACGCAACAAATTAAATTCTGTCTGTGAAAAAATTACTATTTTTTCATATTTCATTCATCAAAGTAGTTGCTGCTTCTTTTCCACCTTCATTGACTCCCAGAGCAAGAATTTGAGGATGACACATGAGAAATACACATATGAACCTGCATTAATCCTGCTTCAGTTATTAAAACTTCTCATGTTATGTTCCCCCAGCCTCTATCTATTTTATATATAAAATAAATCCCCTCAATGTTCAACAGTTACTCCTAATCCTCATTATACTTAGTTAATGGATGTTTTGCTATAACGAAAAACCTTGCAAAGAGATTCAAAGAGAGTTGAAGTCCAGGGAAGTGACTGAGTCACCATTTCTGAAGGTATTTAAGATGTTAGATGCAATTTAAGGGATATGGTTTAGCGGTGGGCCTGGCAATGCTGGGTTAGTAGTTGGACATGATGATCTTAAAGGCCTTTTCTAACTTAACAATTCTATTATACTAAGACAAATTATTGCCTTGAAAGTAATGAGTCAGGGCACCAGCTTTATGGTTGATTTTGAAATGAAGTGATCCTGCTTTAATACAGGACCCTATTTACTGTTGAAATACATAATATAAAAGCCTCAGATTTTCTATCTTCTCATTTCTTCAAAGCTACAAAATAACAGATTCATCTGGGGTTTAATCTGGAAAGAATGCTGTTTAAAGGGTTTTGATAAACTGTTTTGGGTAAGGATATTTATTTTTTTATTTATACTTTAATACTTTAAATTCTTGCCTTCTCTAGTTTATGTCAGGCTCTGTAGTGGAGTTAAGCCCATTCAGAGCATGCTCTGGATCCAGACCCCATTTTCACATGAAGTAACAAATGATCAGGCAGCAGATAACCCATAAAAGACTGATAATTCTGTGCTTCCAAAAGATCCATTAAAACAAAGTGAGAAGATTATCATCCCTCTTGCATATGATAGAAATTATTAAATTGGCTAGGGCAATGACCAACAATTTCATGGTCTTTCCATATAGCACAAGCATTTGATATAGTTATGCATCTAAACATGGTTGAAGTAAGAGTTTATTTGTATTTTATAACCCTATTCAATATCTGCATCCCAGAAGTTGAACAAAAAACCCAAAACATTTGTCCCTTTTTTAATATTATTTTCTCATTCCCATATTTAATTTTGGGCATATCCCTAAGATGAATTCGCAATTACACGGTTCTCTGCGGTAACCAAATGTTGTCACTTTAATCTTGAAATGGATGTTTCAAATTCATCCCAGCTTCTGCATAAAAATTACTTGGGAAAATCGTAGCAATATTAAAGTACAATTTTTCTCAGAGAGTGAATAATGCCCTCAGGCCAGTGCAGGTAATTCAACTCTGTAACAGTGAAATTACTTGACACACTGAGTTTGAATTTGAAGCATGAAAGAGTTTCCTTTACAATGATGGAATTGAAATATAAAAATTTCCCTTTTGCTTTCATGTTTGAAATTTTATTACATTTGTCAATACTTACAAAGATTTTTTCTACGTAATAAGATTTATCTCAGCTTTGCTTCAAAAAATAATCTGCAGTTTTAATTCTCAAATGATGGAATTTTTAATGCAAAATAATAGTCCTCACTGTCAGGCCATACTAATTATGGACACAAGCACTGAGGAAGAACTGTGACTCCTGGCACAGTGTAGCTCACGGAAGAAATGACACTTGTTTCTCTACACCTGATTGAATTATTTATCAGAAATTCATTTGGTCAGGTCTTTTCAGTTTTTTGTGCATCAGCCCAAGTAGCACTGAAGTAATCAAGGTTTCCTTATATATCTTTGCTATCGAGTTTAGGGAGCTGAAAAAAATGAAGTGTAAAAAGAAATCACATGGCTTTGTTCACATTTCTTCTATGCAAAGGGATAAAAAGGGAAGGAAACAATCCTATTTAACTTGCAGTGATTTCCTCACACCTCTCCAGGAGGAAAATGTTGAGGAACAGTAGCTCCTCACACAGACCTCAGAAATCCGCAGAAAGATTCCTTCTTTCACAGGAACAAGGGAAGTCCCTTAAGCTGGGACTGCTGGCATCAGCTGAATATTGCTGTGAGGACTCAGCATTAGATGGGGAAGTAATACTTTTCAGGGCAGTATCATCCTAGTGATTCAAGAGGAGCAGTTCTTTTCAAAGAGCAGATTACTTTTTATTTTAAGGCTCTGGTATGTCTTTAACATTACAATTACAAACACAATGGTTGACTTATTTTCTTACACTGTGCCCCTCTGTCAAGGCTGCTGGAACTCCCATCAGTAAAGTTTTCAATATTTTTTTTAATTCCAAGCCAGTGTGGCACAGGCACCTGAAGAACCTTGGGGAATGTTAGTTTGGCATGACCTTGTTACTCTGCCAGGGAAAGAAGGAGACAAATGTTTCTGTAAGTGTGTCCATAGGAGTAGAAAGAGGTTGTTTGAAAGGTCTAATTAACTTTGACTGAATCAGAATGCAGGCTCTTTGCACATCATGCTCCCAAAGCTTCAGAACATCTGTTCTTCAGCCTTGATTTAAACCTTGACAAAACTGAACCCTTTGTGGCTTATGATCAAATGGCATATGTTGATCTTTGATGTAATTTGTTCTAATTTGTTGAGTAAGAAGCAGAGTTGACACAAACATTGAATATCATGCTGTGTAATACCAGGGAAAGAACTATTTTTTTTTAAAATGTTCTTCCATCATGGAAAAGCCCAGATGCCAAATATTCCTCTCCAGTTCTAAGACAAAGTTTGGCCAGGCTCTAAAGGGGGCCTTCAGGATGACAAAACAGATAGAACTCTGTAGCTTCTCTGCTCTCTTTAGCCCAGTAGGTTTTAGAATAAGTTTGCTGCTTTCTAATTGACCTCTCCTGGCTCTGCTTCTTTTCTGCTGAAAATGTATCTCTCTCAGCTATAGCTTGGGGTTAATGAGTTTTTGAATTCTGTTTTGGTAGGGTTTTTGACATGCATCCAAACTACATCCCATTAAATGACCTTTTCATCCTCCTTCTCCTGCCATTGCTGAAGTTTTCAAATACATTTCTTTTGAAAAAACCATTTAAAAATTTCTAACCTCTTTAAATCATATCCAATAGTGAAAGAACCAGTCAGGTGTTAAGGAGTTTGGAGTAAAAGCTCAGTACAGATTTGCTTTCAGACATGGAAGGTTAAAAAATTGAGTTCAGATTTAGAGAGTGAAGAACAATAGAATAACAGAGTAGTTGTAATTGAAAAGTGCCTCTGAAGATCTATTAGTTTGATCGTCTGCTCAAAGCAGTGTTAAGTGCTTAACACTGAGCCTAACACTTAAGGAGTGGGTTGCTCACAGCCATGTCCAGCTGGGATTTGAATATCATAAGGATGAAGACTCCTTAACCTCTCCTAGCAATTTGTACCTGTGCACTCCTGCAGGGAAAAAGGTTTTTCTTAATTTTAAATTAAATTTCCTGTATTTCAGTTGGTTTTGTCATCTTATTATAAAGCTCTCATACCTTCTTGGTGATTTTTCACAGGCAGCTCTGACGCCTTCTTCTTTACAGGAGAATCAACAAACCCCAACTCCCCTCTCAACCACCTAACCCACTCTTTTGTAGCACTCGTCTTCTTATTGGACACAGCTGTGGCCTATTAAGGGCAGGCCTGTTCCTAATCTTTGGTGATTAGTACAGCTGCCACTCCTCAGGGGTGAGATTGCCTTCTGCACTATTCTCTTACATTCTATCCCTCCAAAAGCTGGTACCCGTTGACTCTTCTCCTTTCACTGGATGCAGCTGAAGATGCAGTCTGGTGTGGTCTTCTCTACTTATGTTGTCATAAACTGTTTATACACGTTGATAAAATCCCCGTTGAAACACCTTTTCTGGAGGCTGGGCAGTTTCAGCTCTCTCAGCCATCCTTTAACGGCAGGTGCTCCAATCCTTTACCATGCTTGTAGCCTGTTGCTGCTCTCCTGTATGTCTGTGTTTCTTCTGAGCTGGGGAACCCAGGACTGGGCCCAGTGCTACAGATGTTCTGTCAGTGTTGAATTCTGTCATTTCCCACCACCTGCTGGCAATGCTTTTCCTGGTGCAGCCTTGGAAGCTGCAGAACTTCATTGTTGCCTTGGGTGCATTACTGACTTGGCTTGAACTTGATGTTTACCAGGACTCCCAAGTCCTTTTCTGAAGGAAAAGAGAAAGGACAACATTGTGACTTCCTCAGTGTTAACGCTAGTTTCTTTTTTACTTCCTGCTTGACTCAGATCCCTTGCTATGGGCATTGAGCTATTTCTTGATAATTTCAGATGACCTTGGAATAAGACTTATAGTTACTAT